TTGTTGCCCTTGATAGAGTGCTGTAGCGTCATAGCTCACAGCAACCTCGAACTCTTAGGCTTAAGCGATTCGCTTGCCTCAGCCTCCCAGGTAGCTGGAACTACAGGCACCTGCCACAATGCCTGACTATTTTTTTGTTATTGTTGTAGTTGTCATTGTTTAGGAGGCCCAGGCCAGGTTCGAACCTGCCTGCTTTGGTGTATATGGCTGGTGCCCTAACCACTGAGCTATGGGCGCTGAGCCTAATCTCAGCACTTTAGAAGGCTGAGGCAGGAAGATCACTTGAGGCCAGGAGTTCAAGAGCGACCTGTACGATATAGTGACTCTTCATCTCTATAAAAAATTAGAAAAATTAGCTGGCCATGGTGGTGCATGCCTATAGTCTCAACAACATGGGATGCTGAGGAAATAAGATCACTTAAGCCTGAGTGGTTGATGGCTGTAGTGCATTATGACTGTGCCTTTGTGCTCTAGCCTAGGTAAGAAATTGAGACCTTTTCTCTTTTTAAAAAAAAGAAAAAAGACAGTTTCTCAGATCTGATTTTCTATATGTATGTGTGGGTGTGTATATATACATACATATATATATATATATATATTTTTTTTTTGAGACAGAGTCTCAACTACGTTGCCCTTTGTAGAGTGCAATGGCATCAGAGCTCACAGCAATCTCAAACTCTTAGGCTTAAATGATTCTCTTGCCTCCCAAGTAGCTAGGACTACAGTTGCCTGCCACATGCCTGGCCGTTTTTTTTTTTTTTTTTTTTTTTTGCAATTGTTGTTGTTTAGCAAGCCTGGGCAGGGTTCAAACCTACCAGCCTCAGTGTATGTTGCTGGCACCCTAACAATTGAGCTATGGGTGCTGAGTCCTCAGATCTGATTTTTAAAAAGCAACCATGTTAAGTTACAGATCGTCTTTTGGAAACACAGGTTGAAATTGGAGGAATGAAAAAGTATGAGTGAATATATCATCCTGGGGAAAGTTGTTGGTTGGCTTTATAATTTTATTTATTATTATTATTATTTGAGATAGAGTCTTACCCTGTTGCCCTTGATAGAGTGCTATGGTGTCACAGCTCACAGCAACCTTCAACTTTTGGGCTTAGGTAATTCTCTTGCCTCAGCCTCCCATGTAGCTGGGACTACAGGCTTCTGCCACAACACCCGGCTATTTTTTGTTGCAGTTTGGCTGGGGCTGGGTTCGAACCTGCCACCCTCGGTATATGGGGCTGGCGCCCTACCCACTGAGGCACAGGTGCTGCCCTATAATTTTTTTTAGATCCACCAAAAGAGTCAATTGTATGTATTTATTGACAAGAGAATAACATAGTAAAATTGTTTCCATTGTTTACATTCACCTCTTTTTTTCCAATGGTAAGTTGAGCATTTTCATATAGTTTTCTCTTCCTTGAACCTTTTGAATTGATTCAGCCTTGGTGTTAGTGCTTCTCAAGGTTTTCTATGGACCTAGCTTCATCTCTGTCTTTCTCTCTTCTCTTAAGTTCTCTTGCCTGAGGTCTATAAGGCCTGCTCTGTTCTGCACCATCGTCCAGAACCAGAAAAGACTAGTGTCCTTGAGGTGGAGAAGGCCTCCTCTGCATATAGATGGGGTCACCAGCATTGGTAGGATGATGCTACAGCTTGGAGTTTGGGGAAGACAGTGAAGATTCTGGCTGTTAAGATTTTGTTATGGCTGGGTATAGTGGTAGGACAGGGGTCCTCAAACTTTCTAAACGGGGAGGGGGGGGCAGTCCACGGTCCCTCAGACTGTTGGAGGTCCGCACTGTGGGCCCTGGGATGCGTTGGCTGCTAAGCAGGATAGGCAGCAGTGGCAAAAACACCCAGCAGGCTGGATAAATGTCCTTGGAGGGCTGCATGTAGCCCGCGGGCTGTAGTTTGAGGACGCCTGGTGGTAGGCCAGGGTAGGAGGATCATTTGAGGCTAAGTGTTTGAGACCAGCTTGGGGGACATAGGAAGACCCTGTCTACAAAAAATAAGAAAAATTAGCCAGGCATGGTGGTGTCTGGCTATAGTCCCAGCTACTCAGAAGACTGAAGCAGGAGGGTCATTTGAGCCCAGGAATTTGAGGTTATACTGAGCTATGATTATGCCACTGCGTTCCAGGCTGGGTGACAAAGTGAGATCCTGCCTTTAAAAGTTTATTGCTATCTCAGTGATAATTCAATATGCTAGACCCTGGATACCTGAGGTCAGTCTTAGAAAGGATCCTTAAAGCTCATTCAGTCTGGAGAACATCTGAGAAGTAAAACATAAAAGAGCAAGGCAGGCAGGCATGGGCTCTACCTGGTTTGCCCAGAACCTTACTTCGGGCCTGGGCACAGGGATGTTGTCGGACTCCAACCATGGATTCAGGGACATGTCTGAGTTGTAACAGTGACATAACATACCTAGTAGAAAGGTGCCTTGAAGTCCAGTGGCTTGCTCACAGTGTCTGTTAGGAGCAGAAGAATCTTTATTTGGAGGCATAGCCTCTGTTTTCAGAGTGTTTGTACCATGAGACCCAGTCAGAATTCAGAATGAGGTCTGAATATATATGCCTGAGATTCAGACTTTTCCCGTTGATGTCTGTTTCTTAGCCAGTAGTGCCTCAGAATGTACTTGGAAATTGTCTGAAGGTCTGGTAACAAGCCCTTGACCTAGTACCCAACATTTCCCAGATATAAGTCACTTTTTTGAACAGAGGTGTTGCTTTTGATTTGACTGTGAAGGGTAGAGTTTTAAAAAAAAATTGGGGCTTCGGCACCTATGGCTCAAATGGCTAAGGTGCCAGCCACATACACCTAAGGTGGCGGGTTCAAATCCAGCCTGGACCTGCCAAACAACAATGACGGCTGCAACCAAAAATAGCCGGGCGTTGTGACGGATGCCTGTGGTCCCAGCTACTTGGGAGGCTGAGGCGGGAGACTCGCTTGAGCCCAGGAGTTGGAGGTTGCTGTGAGCTGTGAAGGCACGGCACTCTACCCAAGGGGATAGCTTGAGGCTCTGTCTCAAAAAAAAAAAAAAATAGATTGGGCAAATTTTCAAGCATATAAAAATATCCTTCGCAGTATTTTCTTTTTCTTTTTATTTATTTTTGAGATTGAGTCTCACTATGTCACCCCTGGTAGAGTATGGTGGTGTCACAGCTCACAGCGACCTCCAACTCTTGGGCTTAAGCGAGTCTCTTGCCTCAGCCTCCCAAGTAGCTGAGACTACAGGTGCCTGCCACAATACCCAGCTATTTTGTTGTTGTTGTTGTTGCAGTTGTCATTGTTGTTTCAGCAAGTCCTCGCCAGGTTCGAACCTACCACCCTTGGTGTATGTGGCTGGTGCCCTACCCACTGAGCTACAGGTGCTGCCTTATCAGACTAGCTTTGGGGAGATTTTCTTGCTTGTCTAGGAGGCTAGGAAATCATGTTAGACATAATGTTGGACAGGCCTGAAATGCATGCTTAATTCTTGTGTGGTAGAAGAGAATGGGCTCAGATGTGATGAATCTTACTTAATGCAGCTACCTGAGTTCTTGGACTCCTTTGCAGCATGAGCATAAGGCTTTAGAAAGTGAATTTTCTTCAGAATTATGAAGGTGCATTTCCCCATGGAAAGGTGAGAGACAGGGGAATTCTCTTTCCCTCTCCCTCACTGTGACCTCAGTGTGGAGAGAGAATTGGCTCCTAATGCCTGCTTAGGCCTCTGGACAATTTCCTGATGTCTGCCCACTTCTAGAGTGTGTATAGGGATTACACCTTATCTTTGCTGCTGTGGTTCACATAATTCTCACGAAGAAGCCTGATTGAGATCAGAACCCTTGAGGCTGGGTATTGTGCTAGGACAGCATATCTTCTTAGTCATCTTTTATTTTTTTCTAAACTTTAGTGATTATTGTATTAACTATTTTGTATATTCTAAAAATAACCCAGTATTGGCTGGGTGAGGTGGCTCATGCCTGTAATTCTAGTACTCTGGGAGTCTGAGATGGGTGGATTGCTTGAGCTCAGGAGGTCCAGACCAGTCTGAGCAAGAAGGAGACCTGTCTCTAAAAAAACAACCAAGTCGTGTGGTGCCTGTGGCTCTAGGAGTACGGTACTGGCCCCATATACTGGGGGTGGCGGATTCAAGCTTGGCCCTAGCCAAAACTGTGGAAAAAAAACAACCAGGCATTCTGGTGGACATTTGTAGTCTCAGCTACTCAGGAGGCTGAGGCAGATCTTTTGAGCCCAGGATTTTGAGGTAGCTGTGAGCTGTGGCACTATAGCACTCTACCCAGGGCAACAGAGAAGAGACTCTTTCTCAAAAAATAATTAAAGAAGCAAAATAAAAATAACCCAATATTCTACAGGGAAAATCACACTTTGCATATTTGAAATAATACAGAAGGATTCACTTACATAGATTCTAGTAGATTGATAAAATTGATAGCAATTTAAGATTTTGAACAGTTAGCCCTTGAATTAATTAATCCTAAAGGAATAATCTAAAATAAGAGTCTGTGAAAAATATTGATCCATGACTTTGAAATAGGCTTCTCATATTTGGTAAATTTGAAGAAACAAATGCAATTCTTCTTGAGTGGCATAATGACCAAATTGCCATTTTCCTGTTCTAGTATCTTTATAACCGGCTACTTAATTTGTATCAATCATTTAGGGAAAGTCATCTCTTATTGCCATTTTTCTATGCCGTTCACTGGTAACTTTTAAAATTCAGGGAAGCTTATGATTTGTAAATCAAACTAGGATGCCCTGAAGATCAACCTTGTGATTTATAACACTGAAAGAGTCAGTATGTGACCATGTGGACTAATGAGACCAGAAGACCAATTAATTTCTTGGCTCTTAGAGAAAATTTGTCTTGAAATACCATGAAAACATGTTTTTTTGCAATTTATTTTAAATAACCAAATATGGAGAACATTTATTTCTTGAGAAGAGACCTAAGGCATTAAATAGGGCTTGCTCTTTGCAAAAAGTCAGTAGCATTGTTTTTGCTCTCTCTCCCAGATCAAGCACTGTGCCTAGCAGAAATTTTACTACCTCTCCAAAATCATCAGCAAGTCCCTATTCCTCTGTGTCTGCCTCTCCCATTGCAAATGGTGATAGCACTAACACCTCTGGGATGCACAGTTCCGGTGTCAGCAGGGGGTAAGAGCAGGCCCTTTCATTTTGCTTCCCTTTCCTGAGTCCTTTCCCAGGCCGTACCTGGAGAGCTTATCTTCTGCTATACTAAGCTTCAGTGATGTTAGAGTTCCTCATGGGAATGTGCTGCATGTGGTTCTCACTTTCATATCCACAGTAAGGTGTGCTTCCTTGTTCTGACCTACGCTGCTGGTCCTCTTGTGGGTTGGTGTTTTCCCCATAGCATAAGTCATTGGTGTTGTGGTGGGAGGTCACTGCATTTGTTTGTGAAGGAATGGGCTGGCTGTATGACGGAATAGCAATGAAGGGACAGTTCTTAGCTATAGATGGCTATGATTCTTTCTCTACGTGTGTCAGGAGCATCTGCCACATAGCATAGACAAGGTGGAAGAGGAGGGAGAGGCAAGAATGTACAAGACCACTCAGGCCCAGTCAAGGGTGGGTGTGGCCTGGTGGGCAGTGGCAGATGAAAGCTCTTGATCTGGGTAACTAAAATGTTATTCCCTAAAGTCACCTGGCAGTCTTTTGGAGGGATACAAAATTAGCATTTGCCAAAGCCTAAGAGAGGAAAATTCAAATAGCATTTTTATTCTTAAGGATGTTGCTTACCAGTTGTGAGCATGTAAAATCAGGGTGGAGGCAGGTTCAGAGGGCTGGAGAGGGAAGTAGAGAGAACTTGGCATCTTGGGGTTACTACCAGACATGAGTTCTAGAGGCCCCAGAGGAGTCCCAAAAGACATCTTGGGGACATGTGTGCAGCAGTTGCTTTTATCATTGTTGTGGGTTGTGTTTTCCAGTGGATCTGGCTTCTCTGCTTCGTATAACTGTCAAGAGCCCCCATCATCTCATATACAGCCTGGGCTCTGTGGACTTGGAAACCTGGGGAACACCTGTTTCATGAACTCTGCTTTGCAGGTAGAGGGGAATGTGCCATCCAACAAACACTGTTTCTTGGGGCTTGGGAGGGAATGGCCTGCAAAGGTGCTTGGGTAGATCCTCTCCCAGGTGTTTCCTGCTAACCCTTTGGTTAGTGCTTTAGTGATCTCTGCTAGGACACCTCCCAGTAGTTGGTACAAAGTGCTTCAGTGTTTTGTGGCCCCCCTAATGTCTTCTAAATCAGCTCTATGTTTGGTTTTACAGTAAGAACATTTTAAATTTTGTTTACAATTGGGTACTTGGCTGGATGGTTTCTGTTTGGATGAAAAGAACTAAGAGTAGCTGATGCCAAGTTAAATTCTGTCTTGCTGGAGACTGATCACCTTTTTACCAAAAATACTGGATAAGAGCAGCACCTGTGGGTCAGTAAGTAGGATGCCGGCCCCATACACCGAGGGTGGCAGGTTCAAACCCACCCTGGACGAACTTCAACAAAAAATAGCTGGACATTGTGGTGGGTGCCTGTTGTTCCAGCTCCTTGGTAGGCTGAGGCAAGAGAATCGCCCAAGCCCAAGAGCTATAGGTTTCTGTGAGGTGTGACGCCACAGCACTCTACCGAGGGTGACAAAATGGGACTCTATCTCTAAAAACGAAAACCAAAAATACTGGATAAAATCCTAAAATCTTCCTTTGGACCTTATTTATTCATTCATGAACTATCAAACCTCAGGTCGGGCGTGGTGGCTCATACCTGTAATCCTACTTGTGGGAGGCTGAGGTGGGTGGATTGCTTGAGCTCACAGGTTCAAGACCAGCCTAAGTCAGAGTGAGACCTCATCTTTAAAAATAGCCAGGAGGGCGGCGCCTGTGGCTCAGTGAGTAGGGTACCGCCCTATATACTGCGGGTGGTGGGTTCAAACCCAGCCCCCGCCAAATTGCAACAAAAATATAGCTGGGCATTATGGCGGGTACCTGTAGTCCCAGCTACGCGGGAAGCTGAGGCAAGAGAATTGGCTAAGCCCAAGAGCTGGAGGTTGCTGTGAGCTGTGATGCCATAGCACTCTACCGAGGGTGACAAAGTGAGATTCTGTCTCAAAAAAATCCTTATTTTTTCATTTATCGAGTATATTACGTGATAGCATTTTGATAGACATGGGTTGAAGTTTGAAGAGTCCAACTTCAAAGTTAGGATGGGACAATCTCCAAGACTACCCTCAATTCTGAAGTAAGCTACTAGTTTGGAGGTTCCCCAAACCACCCCTCAGTTGAGTTTTTTTTTTTTTTTGAGACAAAGTCTCACTATGTTACCCTCAGTAGAGTGCCATAGTGTTACAGCTTACAGCAACCTCAAACTCCTGGGCTTAAGCGATTCTCTTGCCTCAGCCTTCCAGGTAGCTGGGACTACAGGTACCCACCACAATGCTCGGCTATTTTTTATTGCAGTTGTCGTTGTTTAACTGGCCTGGGCCAGGTTCGAATCCGCCAACCTCAGTGTATGTGGCTGGCGTCATCACCACTGTGCTACGGGCGCTGAGCCCACACCTCAGTTTTGATAATTTGCTATAAGCTCAGTGCCTGTGGCTCAAGCGGCTAAGGCGCCAGCCACATACACCTGAGCTGGTAGGTTCAAATCCAGCCCAGGCCC